GCATCAGATTCAATTGCTATACCACCTATTATTATTTTTTTTTTCCCCTGAGGTCCATACAGCTTGTCAAAGTCATCTTTCCAAGATGTCAGAAGCTTTGGCAGTACATAATGCCTGAAGGATTGGCTTTGTCCCTAAGGACAGGCTTTACAAGACTGATTGTAGCAAACACTTAGCTTATTTTCTGCCAGCTTTTTAAAAACTTGGTAGACAAGCCCAAAGCTTTCTGCAGGCTTGGACTGACAGCACTGATAGCTTGTGAGATGTTAAAGATGTGAAAATCTACATTAAACGGTAGAGATCCCACTTGTTTAGACCTCTGGCTGAAAAAAAATTTCTCCTTTTCATTTTAGCTTATTCTCAGGCCCTTCTTTCCAATTTTTTTGACAACCTGAGCCACAATTTTACCACAATGAAGGGCTTGGCAGAAGCAGAGAAACCTGTGTAAAGTCTTACCATGAGTGCTTGACATTTCAATTCTGTGCAGGGTTTCATGATCTAAAATGGGAAAGTGAAGGTGAGAAATAAGTGTGCAAAGATTTGTGGCAAAGAACAAGCCTTACTAAGGACTTTGGTGCAGTTGGCTACATTCATATGTAGTATTCATATCCCAAGTGTCCAGTGAGTGGAGGCTTCCCCTTGAAGCCACCTCAGCACTGTATGCAAAATTCAGTTCTTGGCTTTGTATAATCAGGATTTGTGTTTTACAGAGCAAGACTATCTTTTCAATAATAAAATATCTATCGACTAGAATATATCTCTTGTTCTCTCTTTCCTGAAATATAAAGAGAAATAAAAATGTAGGAAATGAAAAAAAAAATAAATTAGTACAGAGTGTTTTGTGTTCCTTTGTGGAGGTATCTGAGAATGTATACAATGAGTCATTTTAATAGCCATGAACTTTAATATGCAGTTTAGAATTCAATAAAATGTATGTGGGTAAAAGGGAAAAGCTTTTATGCCCCAAATATTAAGTAAATTGAAATCCTTTAGCACAGCAG